CGTCATGCCACCAGAGCCGCTTCTACCTCCTCAGTTTGGCGGCTTTTATGCCGTAGCCTTACAGCACACACACCATCAACATGGTGAGCCGGTCAGCGGCGAAGGCGCAAGGTGCTGGTTCGAGTCCTGGGGTCAGATTTTAACTGTCTCATCATTCGTGTGATAGCTTTCGGAACGCTCAACTTCATTCCTTCGACTTCAACCCTATACCTTACCCCCCCCCCTATTCCTATCGCGCTCTAGGACGCTTTTCCGTATGACCTCGTAGGAGACTCTCGCTGCCTTTTCCGATGTTACCTAGTAAATGTCATAACTCCTACGAGACATAACCTAATGGTTGTGCCTTTCTTGCTTGTAACGTGTACATTGTGTCACTCATGTTGTAATACTGTAATTCATACGGAAAATGATTATGACAAATGAAAATGCCAAATAAAAATAGAAATGAGACTATGAACAGCTCAAACGCGATATTTCAACATTGAGCTGCTCTACAGCGTGTTACCTAATGTTACAATGGCATGCATACTGTGAAGAAAAAAGTAGAGCTAAGGGGGAGGGGGGGGGTATAACGCCGAGCCCACTCTGCTTGTGCGGTATTTTCTCGGCCCAGCTGGAGAAGGAAATGACCACTGTCTCGAATGAGGGGCGCAGACGAGCAGGTTAGTCGCGCAGCCGCACACCCCTTACCCCCTCCCAACGAACCTTAGCCCAAAAAAATATAGACAAGTTCTTGCAGAAAGTCTACATTACAACAAAACAAGCTACATTGAAAAGCTTAACATACCAACTCGAGGAAGCAGTGCAGTTCAGTTGCGCTACGTCACGAGAGTACTGTAACTCCTTCTTCGGGACCAACGGGGCTACCTACAAGCTCCATCGCGATTCCCTCATCAAGGATGTCTCCCCACGATACTAAAGGAAACAAGAGTTAGAACTAGAACTGCAGAAGCAGAAACAAACGGGCGACGACAACTTGTGAAGCAGGTTGGTGCCGCGTCAAACCCATCCCCTGTCAAGCCCCGGCATCCGGGAAGAACTGAACTGTACCATTAGTATGCAACCGAACTGCACATCTCATTATCTGTCATGAAAGCTCCTACTAAGGGAACAGAGAATCGATCGACGGTCCGAAAGAGATCATTCCATCTCTCA